GTTTTTGAGCAGGAAGAGGTCGCCGAGGAGGTTGTCGTCGCAAAGTAAAACTCGAGCTGGTCGCAGATCGTGCGCAGAAAGGTCGCGGGCAGCACCGCCGGCGGCGCGTGCGACGGCGAGAGCGGCTCGGCCTCGGGCTGCGCGAGCGGCGGCCCATGCAGCGAGAGGCAAGAGATGTCCACGTCGATCGGCGTGTGGACCAGCTGCGGCAGCGGCGCCATCATCGAGACGTCCAGCGGCTCCATCGTGTAGCTCTCCATCAGATCTGGTAGTGGTGCGAAGTAGTCGAGGACTAGGTGGTATCCACGGCCTCGGCGCAGATGCGGGTAAGAGCAAATGACCGCAGAGACTGCCAGAAGGCTTCTCTTGGCGAATGTATGCAGCATGATACGGGCCCGTGATTGGCTGATATTCCGACGGCCCTACCCCGTTTGAACCCGCCTCCAATTTAATGTACAAAGAGGGCGTGGGATAGAAAAGCCAAGTGACTTTCGATGGCCATTCTATTTTGGAATTAAAAGAGACGCCCGCCACATTGAAGCAAGATCGCAGCAGGGCGGCCTGCGGGACGACACCCGTCATCCGCCATATCAACCGCCTTCTTCCTGCGGGACGAGGACCATCCTCTTGGTACCGTGCATCGCGGCCATCGCGGCCATTCTCTATAAGTTGCGGCGGCTGATGGACCACTTCACAGCACTGTCTTTAACAGTGCGGTATACATACCTCGAATGAAAGAACGGGTCGGGAACCGACTTCAATCTCCTCATGTTGCGATATCAAGGGTCCATAAAACGCCCTCGGCAATAGCACCCGCGATTGAGAAGGAGCCTGGGTTCCGAGTGGTTGGTGAGCGGCGTGGTCAATTAGGCAATGGTGTTCTTTCTGGCGTTGCATGGTCGACGCTTCAAGCCACAGCTGCGGGAATCTTTTTGATTCCAGCGCATGTGCATGGCGTGTTGACGACGAGGACCTCAGCCTAGGGAGTCAACAATGTATTGTTTGTTCCCTTGACCTCAGCGCAGGATGGCAATGTATTGACGGCGCACAAAATCGATCGGGAGAAAGAGACGGTTCGGATAATATCATTACCAAGTGAGACAGTCACGAGATTGAACATGGCAAGCGGGTTTCCGGATATACCGGATACGGGGACGCATTCCACGCGTTCGTTCGCGGAAAGGCAACGAACGCGCTCGCTCTTTCGACGCGTGGGTGTTGACGATTCCTTCCTTTTTGATGACAATATTCAAGTGTCTAGCGAGTGAGTTGGAGCTGGTAGACGCCGACTATAGTTGCGATAGGCATGTGGATGGGACGCGGCAACGGAGGGAGAAGCGGGGCGAGCGGCAAGCTTGAACGAACGAATCCGTCGCGAGGGGGATCGGCGTGGTTGCTTCGTGGCCAATGAAGCCAGGATACTTTTGCTTCAAGTGCAACTGCGGCGCGGCGTTCATTGACGAAGCGTCATTGACAGCGCCGCCGTGGTGGGTTGTGGGCACATGTCGCGCGCAGCGTGTCGCCATACAATCGCCCAGTGCGATTCCACAACACGTCGGCGCCAGCCACACATTAGCCGTCGCAGCCGCGTGGTGATAGGGCTACTCTTCTTCGCACAAGATACCAACGGAAGCGGCGTCTGGTCGGGCGCCAGGATCAGACGCATCGCGAATGAGCAGAGATCAGACCTGCGGACCAGCTGCACACGACGGTTCCAATACCAGTCGAGACGGAGTAAAGCAAGCAGCAAATAGACAACCTCTGGTACACTACATCACCAACGACAGACACGCCGGGAGAAAGCGCACGGCGAAGCAGGGCGATTGCATGGCCTTTCCGTGATATTTTCATATACCGTGTACATTATTACCTCGGAGGGTTAAATCTATGCAGCTCGCCGGAGCCATCCCCATGTCATGAGAGCGGTAGACCACAGCCTTAATCCAACGACATTGCCTATAGGATCTCTCTTGTCGTAGACGGGAGTGCACTCTTTGAGGTCGAAACGTATGTCGGCGTCGCCATCTCTTTAAAACCTACTGACGTTTCCGTATCGAGCCAACAGCGAGAGCGTTTACAGAGGGGAGCGATGCGGGGTAGGGTCCGTCAACGCAAACGTGGCATGCCGATCTTGGGAGTCTAACTAATAGTTGATTACTGGAAGCGTTCTAACGTGCCAAAACAGCGAATTTTCGTGTTTCGCTGAAATCAAATTCGCCAAAACGAACGCAAAGTCGTCGCGCTACGCTGAATGCGTTTGGAGTTGGCACCAGCACTTGGTCGTTGGGAGGGAGCTGCGTACGGAGAGATCCATCCCGTGATGTACTTTTACAGCAATTTCGTCGGGTATCGCTCTACTATTGAATACATTTCATAAGTCCCCGTTTAGGAGAAGGAGGCACGTTTGATGGCACGTAACACGCGAGGTAGCTATGCTGGAACGCGACACCGCATCATGTCCTCGTTCACCGTCGATTATGTCCGTCTGACGAAAGAAGGTTGATCATGAGAAGAGAATAAGTTGTCCGACACCATTCACGCTGTGTGGAGCCCGCAGGGGCTCTGCACGCAAATTAAAGAGAGAAAAGAGAACCTCGACGCGGTACATTAGCATCCATGGACTACAACCATAAGACGACTATGCGATATCTTCCACAATCTGTCGCTCGAGACCAATGCGTAGCGGTGTTGCCAACTACCAAACACGCATATGTTGACGTCCCATGACTCAATCGAGTCATGTTCCCTGGCACTGGATGGTTGTAAAAGCACCATACGTTCACACACGGTCTCGCTGCAGGAAACGGTTTCCAGATCGTCAGAGACCTACCCCTTCGATTGGCAGCTGGTCGACCCGACGGCATACACGCGCAAATGAACCCGAGCTCCCGTAATATGACGGGAGCTCGTCTGTATATCTGTGTATATTCAAACGACACACTGCACGCCGATGCCAACAGCGTGTGGCAGACGAGGCGGCGACGTGACGTGTTGACAGAAATGAAAAATGATAAGGATGTACTAGTACTAGTCTGCATTAACTCGCATAGACGCGGAGGGCCGTGCCAATAAAGATCATGCACGTGCCGGCGGCAAGAATGCACATGTTGCGGCGGCCTTCAATCTCCTTGAAGTAGACCGCCGACCAGAGCATCGACACCATTGCGGGGCCGATCGCGGTGAGGGGGTAGACGAGGTCAAAGCCGAGGTTGCCGGCCGAGAGGAGCTGGCCCGCGAGACCTGTCGCCCAGAGCAAGCCCGAGACGTACGCTGGGCGGAGCGCGCTGCGGGGCATGCGGCGCTTTCGGATGCGGTGCACGGTCGAGTAGAGCAGAAAGGCGATCGTCGACGTGATGTAGATGCCCATGCACTGGCTAAAGAGAAAGTTGAGCGGGTTGCAGTCCTTCCCGGCGTGGTTGCACGCCTGCTGCCAGAGCACATAGGGCGTGAGGCAGTTGCCGAGGAGGCACCCCACAAAGAGTGCCAACGCAATGCCAACAACGCGGCGCTTCTTCTCGTCCGAGCCAATGTCTTCGGCGCCTTCGACACGCTCGTTGGGAATCGTAAAGGGGCCATAGTTGGGCAATT